TATATATATATATATATATATATATATATGATGAATACTTGTGTCTTCCTTTGGCTTTTTCGATTTAAAAAAAAGATTGTCCATAGTAGTTATCTGTCCTCAGATGACATATATTTAATTATAGTATTTTATAATAAATAATGTCACCGTTATGAAAACGAACGATGGAAGAAAGAAATAATTAATTAACAAACATTATACCATATTCGAACGAGACTTAAAGGCGAGAAATACATTTAAAAGCACCTTTTCTCCGGAGGGTTGGGATGTTGGGTGGGAGCTATCTCAAGACCAGTGTATCTGTTTCAGGAAGGAAAGGATCTTTCAAAGTTTGTGAGAACGACAGTCAACGGAATAGATAATCACAGTGACATAGATATTTTGTTGAACAGTTAGAAGCCTTAGGGAAGCGGTTCTAAACCTGTGGGTCGATACCTCGTTTTTTTTTTTTTTGGGGGGGGGGGTGTCCGAACGACCCTTACAAAGGGGTCGCCTAAGACCATCGGAAAAAACAACATATTTATGAAGTAGCAACGAAGATAACTATATGGTTGGGGGTCACCAAAAGATGAGGAACTGCATTATAGGGTCACTGCATTAGGAAGGTTGAGAACCGGTGCTTTAGGGTGTATACTTTAATTATCTACTGGTAATTGATATTTGATGGACGCACATGCGGTTGTTAGCGTTAGAGATAAATATAACCTTATTAGAGTTTAAATGAACTTTTGTTGATTTGATCTCACATTCATAAACATAAGGGGTATCCATAAATGACGTCAAACATATTAAAGTGGGGGTGGGGAGGGGGGCAAAAATTTGTGACGATCAGGGAGAGAGGTTTACAAACTAGACCAAAAATATATTACGTCATTAATTTTAATTTTTTTTTTTGCCCTTCCCCCATATCAACATACTTGATATTCTTTCGTTTTTTTTCCCCAAAGCTTCCTAATCGGGTCTGTCTAATCTCACTGGTTGTCTTTAATTTAACGTACACATACACACAAAAGGTGTCGTATATAAGACAGAAAATGTGAGTTGATTAAAATAGACAAAATCGGTCTAGCCTTATTTACTTGGTGTTTATGACGTGCCCATGAGAAACTCGTGAGAATCTCTGATTGAGAAAATCAAAGAGGAAGTAGTACGTCATTTCCCGGTCCGTAGGTATACGTTGGAGTGCCGTAGGGCGGACATTTTGAATTTTTGTTTCATAAAAAAAAAAAAAAAAGTAACGGTTGTCCTGAAAGTGATTCGATTGTGTTTATTAGGTACGTGAATTGTTCATTCATTAGTGCTAACCTGAAAAACGTATTAGTTATAATGACCAAAGATCTGACACATTATGTAACCGACTCAAGGCTGTGCCAAGACTAGAAGTTTTGTTAAGGAGCATAGAGTCGTCAAACAACAAATTTAGCTTTGAAACCTTATAGTTCACGAATTCTAAACTTGAGTATATAAATTATTATTTTTTTTTACTTAAAGGTTATTCAGGGTTGGATTATCTATTCAGAAAGGTCGCCAATGTTCCTCAAATCTTTACTCCAGTAAAGGCCACCTTCAGGCTACACCCCCTCCCCACTTCCCAACCAAACACCTTTGATTGGTGTGGTTTGTGGATTAGATATTTAAGGTGAACAATTTTTTTAAAAAGTTACTTTCTATGTTTTTTTTTAAAATGAAAAGGTTTTAAGTGTATTTCGGGAATGAATGACCGTAACCATAGAAACCCCCACTAGGGGGACGTCCATTAATTACGTCCACAAAATAGGAGTGGGGGAGGGGGTTTGGAAATGTTTGACAGTTATTGACAAGGGGGAGGGGGGCTAGATTAGTTAACGTCAACAATCATGTTGTTGTTTTTTTTTATATTAAAATTTTAATCTTAATAATTGACTGGTTTTTACATTATTTTAAAGAATTTAATGAGTGTAAATAGTTATATAGTTTTTATGCTTTTAACAGTATAAGATTTATTGAATGTTTGTCAGTCTGTGCACTGGTGATGGCTGGTCAGAATTTTAGCACATTTTGCTAGTGCAAGCGAAGTCAAAAGTTAGCCTCTCTTCTCCTGTCATTTTTCTCTATATCCGCTCCCTAGAATGATTAACACATCATTGTGCACGGTGTTCAATTTAAAAAAACAACAACAAAAAAACACCAACTCATTGGTGTTCAATAACAACTTATACCAACTCAGAGACAGAGAGAGCGTGTGGCCAGTATTGCTCACACAGACAATGCTTCGATTTTAAATGCTGAATGGTTAGATAAGGATGATGTTGACTTGTCTGGTATATCTGTTCCGCGAGATGAAAATGATAAAGCTCCTTTAGACTGTGCCCATCAGGGGCGTCATTTCGGGTTTTCTTCAAAGGGAGGGGGGTGGCAAAACCAAAACTTGGTCGGCTTGTTAAGTTGTATATTACTGGCGGCGTAACAGTAAAAAGCAATTTAAATAAAACCGGCAAATTTGGAGACCCCCCCCCCCCACGCTGCCCTACCCAAATGATTTCCCTGATGCCCATTGTTACGATAGAGCAACACCTTGCTTTCCATGGGAAGATTACAGCAGCTGGAAACTATACTCCAATTGTCAGCTATACTGACAATAATCATATTTACACTCTCACAAACAATGATATTTAGTCTTTAACAACCTTTTAATTGATTCTGCTTTATAAAATTTAAGTGTAGAAACTTGTTAACTTGTTGATTAACAAGCTAAAGATGTCATCAAATGTTCCCTACAATCATGTGTGTCATTAGAATACAATCAGCACAAAGTCAAACGTATTTATTAATTTATTTAATAATTCATTTTTTTTTTCGTTTGGGGGGGGGGAGTGTTATAAAATGAAGAATTGATTAAATGGGGGAGGGGTGATCGAATGGTTGACAGTTGTTGACAAGCAGGGGGTGGGTGTCAAAAATTGCGTAAAAATTGTCGACGTGATTAATGGACGACCCCTGAACGTCGTATATTCAAACACAGAACACGATGACGTCAGAAAATTCCGTGATAAACAGGGTGAACACCATCAACTCGGTTACTACACGTTCGTCATATTTTGCACAAAACATCAATGTGAACATGTGATCATGGGCTCTTCACCTCAGCAGATTAAACAGAAACGTATACTTATATATATATTTTTCTCAAAACCTTTTAAGGATGTCCTGCGTGGCGGTCTCTTTACGTGTATTTAGATTGCCCATAGACCCTTAAAAACTAACCCTACATTTAACAAATTTACTTCTGTTAGCAAAACATTTTTGAACAAAAAAAAAATTCTCTTAAAAATGCCAAATTTTAGTCATCAAATGTACATTCAATGGGTGCATCTGTTTTAACTGAACTAGTTCTTCTTGTTTGGCTTTGTCTTTGGACAGTGCAAACTCTCATGTTATTTTTCCCGTATAATCTGATTCGGAGATTTTGTTTAGATATCAAATAGTTTGGAAAAAGCCGTCTCACACTCATAGGTGGTTGCAAAAATGGAATCAACAATCTTAGAGCCATACTTGCAACATCGAGATAGGACTTGCGCCAATTTTTACAATACAAAATCACTACAACACATTTTACGAACCCCTATCACTTATTAAATCAATGAACTGTTCTTGAACTAAATTGTCCACCGAAGGCGGATCTCTAACGAAAGGCCCATTGGGGGGTCGGGGTGTGTTGGTGAATCGATATTATTATTAAAGATCTTGTAGCTCTGGAAAATAATGAGAAGTTTCTTAGCTAAAAATTGCAACATTTTGTTTCAACACCTCGAGGATAGCATCATCAAAGTCCTACTCGTCTTCATCAATGCATATGTTTCGCTGTAGAAATGGGGCAAAAATCTTCTTCTCTAACTCTGCATGCCATTGTTTAAGCTTCATTTTGAAAGCTGACATTTTTTCATAACAATGCTGCACTGAGATCTTTTTCATCACAGCGCCAGGTTGATGGTATTAACGGAATCAAATATGTCAGCCTAAAATTACAGGCATATAAGAAAACAGACATTAGATAATTTTGCGCTTCTATCTGATTTATCATCTTGCACAAAAAAATTGCTGCATTTCTTCACGTCGTCACGAAAGCTCTCTTCAAAACTTTACGTTTTGAAAGTCATTCCACGTTAGGGCGTTTCAAATCAGGAAAAACTTTCATTTTATAGTATAACTTGGAAAACAAGCGAGAGTCGAGTGCCTTCGCTTTCATGAAGCTCAGCGTTGTAACTGTACTCACTTCACTGAGAACTTTCTTTTTTTCCAACTCATCAGGCGTGGTAGTCACCACTGAGGCGTGGCGATCAACAGCGATTTGTGGACCAATAATGTTTGAGGGATTTTTGCTTAACTTATGTTTGAAAACCAGAATGGCAACCAAGCGTCGTCAGCAGACACGCCAATGACATGTTCCATTTTGATACCATGCGCCTCAAAAATATGTCCACTTTGTCAAATATTTCTTTCGCAGTTGCTATAATACGTAGACGCAAAGTTGGGCTGAGTTGGCGACACCTGTCATTTCATCCAGCTGGATCGCAATGAATTTAAAAATCGAATTCTGAACATTCCAGCTTAACTGCGACAGTGTGTCATCAGATCGAATTCTGAACCTTCCAGCTTAACTGCGACAGTGTGTTACCAGACATCTCCGCTAGTCGCCTCCTAACAGTATCGTTTGACAGAAAGGAAAAAACATGCTTCAGCTTCTCATGCTCAGATTTTCACAGCACATTCGATGTGATATCTTTGCAGGTCAACATTTTTATTTGGTGCTTGGTTGCTTCGCTTCTAAGTGTCTCTTTAACTTGCTGGTCTCTGGTCTCTGGAGAAGCAAAACAAAATTTCAATTATGAAACGTCAGAGCCCATTAAATGTTTTGGAGGCATTTTAATCTGAGGAAACAAAACAAAAAAAAACAAAACAAAAAAATCTACTACTTGTTAAAATTTTAGTTACAAATTATTGATTTATCATTATTAAGTTAAAAATTGAAAACTAGATAAAAAATTGGTCAATTAATGAAATTCTTATTATAATAGAACAAAGTATAACCAGTAGCATTTAGAAAAGAAAATCTTATCAAGAGAAAAAAAGCGGTATAGAGACGGTAGGCTGCTTGCTAGGCATAAGAAAGCTTGAGAACATTTTATAAACAGATTGTTTCTGTTGTAGGGGGCAGTAAAATTAAATTTAAAAAAACACACACTCTAAGATCTCTTTAAGTCAGTAGTTCTCAACTTTTCTAGTGCCGCGACCCTTTAATACAGTTCGTCATATTTTGGCGTCCCCCAAACACAAAATTGTTTTCGTTGCCACTTCATAACTGTCAACTATATGTGTTTCCGATGGTCTTAGGCGACCCATGTAAAAGGGTCGTTCGACCCCCCAAAGGGTCGCGACACACAGGTTGAGAACCGCCACTTTAATTGAATGTTGTAAAAGATATAGCTAGTAGCTTGACAGTTGTAAATATATATAGCTAGTGGTGTGACATTTGTAAAGTATATTGCCTATACACTCTGAAATCTGCTGTTCTGATGTTGTCTAAGTGCCGTTGATACACTAGGATATCATTCAGTGCTGTAATACCCTTTACCCTATTGGCGTCAGGTAGTATATTATCATCGAGATATTATCTTTTAATTCTTACTTATTAAAAGTATAAATTAATTTTTTTTTTTCATTTTCAGAAATAATATTTAACCATAATGAATAACCAGGCCGATGATATCAGTAAGTATTGATTTATGTAAATTGTACTGTATCGCTGTCAGTGTTTCAGTTGATTAGCTCATTTATTCAAGTACCCAACATCTAAATATTTTGGCACTCTTTAACAATTAATTAACCAATATCTTTTATGAATAATCTGTTAAATATTATATTTATACAAAAACCGGGTGAATTTAGAAAAAGAACTGATTCAGAGTTATGGAAACGTTGACACCACATGGCATGTTCGTCATGTTCTCATTCACCTGTTAAACCTTTTCTCCGCCCCCTTCTTGTTACGACCAATCGCCTTGGACATTCCTTATCTCTCTTTCGTCCCATTTTTTTTGTGTCTGTATTAACTCTCTCGTCTACCTTTCTTCTATCACATTCTTCTTGCTGTCCTTTCACCTACTTATGTTCTATTATATTCCTCTTGATGTTGTCTCGTGCTCTACAATGTAGCTAAGGGTTTATTTTAATTTCAAATTGTTTTTGCTGTTTTTTCGCTGAAGAAGGCTTCTTGACGACACATTCGTTGTTTTTTGTTCCGTCCTTTTTTCCCTCAGACCTTCCCATATATGTTTCCAGGTTATTTCCTTATAAATGTCATATTTAGTTAGCACTGTTTTTTTTTTTTTTAGCAGTGAAAAATTTAAAGTTAAATTCCTCCATTTTCAAATATATTCAAATGACGACATTGACTTAAGCTGTAAAGAATGGCACAAGCTGAGAAAGAGGCGTGTGTAAGTCTACCCCAGCGTTGTTACCTTCCCATATATGTTTCCAGGTTATTTCCTTATAAATGTCATATTTAGTTAGCACTGTTTTTTTTTTTTTTAGCAGTGAAAAATTTAAAGTTTAATTCCTCCATGTTCAAATAGATTCAATTGATGACATTGACTTAAGCTGTAAAGAATGGCACAAGCTGAGAAAGAGGCGTGTGTACGTCTACCCCAGCGTTGTAACTGACCAAGAAGAATGCTTGGATCTTTTAAAGGATTTTAAAGTTGTCCTTAAGGTGAGAATTTAAACAACCTCTTGGGGGTACAGTAAGATGAGATTCTTAAAAATTCCTCTTAAAATTGCTTGTAAATAGTTCGTGAATTGTTACAGAATTGGGGGCAAAAAGATATATGGGATTTTTTTTTAAAGAAAAAAGTTTAAAGCATCGACAACATGTTTACAATATTAAATGAATGTGCTTTCAAAGACGTATTAAAAGTGTGTTATAATGATGTGGAAGAGAAGCGGGCAAAGCGTAAATATTAGGTGGCTCGTCTTTTTCAACTTTTTAAAACTTGATCTCCAAACGTTTCTATCTTGTTCCAATCAACAACAACAGAAAACCGCCCAAAAACAACAAAAGTTACAATTTGCTGCCCCAATCCCCGAAATCTTGTTTCAATGCAGACCCCCCCCCCCCCCAAAAAAAAAAAAAAAAGGTTACTATAATAAGATTTAATTATATTCATAACAATATATTATTATACATACTTTATTAACCCATTTGCTAACCATAGCGAACCCCACCGCAAAAAAAACAAAAAAAAAAAAAACTGGCTACTAATACGAAACAGAGCGTCATTTTGCCTAGCTACGGAGACTTGCAGTCAACACATGTTATTGAGTTAGTTTTTAGCAGCTGGCTTGACTCACTGATGGGGGAAGACTTTGTCAACTTGTGACCTATGCATGGAGCTTTTTAAAAATGATTTCCAGAGACTCGGATGAAACTCGACAAGAACACTTCACATAACTGTTAGCAGTGAAATTTCCCGATGACGTTCTCCCTAAAATTCTCGGATGTCTTGAACACCACCTTTCTACACAGAAACAACCGCTAGAGGTTTACCGAGAAGTGCTGGAGAAATGAGGAACTTTCTTTGCTGCATTACGAAGAGCGGGACATGGTTTGGTATGCTTGGAGCTATAAGTCATGCTTGTGTGACGGGGAAAAAAAAGGTTAATATATTATTATGCATTGGAGACCTACCTGTTTCGAGATCAGTTTCCGTTCTCTCGTGGGGAGAAGAACTCTTTAACAAGAATATGTATTTTATCTTCCTTGGAGGGTCTGTTTGAACCTGGTTTCTGTCAGAAGAAACAAATGAAAGCGCTTATCGTGGTTTCCTGTCCCTGCGTTTATTGGTAAACTATCAGGATATTGATCCAGAAATATCTTTTGTGCTTAGCTTCTGAAAATGTGGCTCTATCCTAGTTCGATGCCGATGTTTCAACAATTGTTGCAAATATGGCTCAAGGTATGCTGGAAGCAGACAAAGGTCAAGAACAGGAAGTGAAACAAAAAGCAACCGAAGAGATACAGACATTTTGCACCAAAATATGTTTCTTCTTTTTACGAACATATTGTTTTCGACTTGTGTAACTGTTGGTGCAAAAAAACTTTCTCTGCGAGATTTTCTTGAAGTATCGATTCTTTCGACAAAGACCCTTCAACATGGAAAGATGATCGTGTTCACAAAAAGTTGAATTGAAAAAACTTGAGAAGACGTATGTTGTGAATGACGTTGTAGAAAGAGGCGTCAAACTCATTCAGGGTTGCAATGACATTCTCACAAAAGATGAGCGGTTCTCCCTCACTCTGAACAAAATGCAGCTCAAGTCGAGGCTACTACTCAAGTCGAAACCTTGGCCGTCTTCGCATGCGAAGTACGAAGAATATTTAAAAAAAAATAATAATATTTCGTAAATTTTTCATATTTCAGAATTTTTTAAATTAACCTTTAGGTTCAGAATGATTTTAAACAATTGCCGGCCTTGCCTGAATGTGTGCATATAAATTTATCTGAGAAGAAACAAGGAAAATGGACGACCTGGGGAACAGCACACCGCATATTACCTGAATTAATTGTTTCGTACACTGTGTGCCAATTCCATGGCGCTTGAGTGTCGTCTAGCAGTTGTCAGAATGAGTTGACATTTTGCAAATATCGGGGTTTTATTTGATTCTATTCCCCGGGTCAGACCACTTGTAGGTGCGGCTACTCTTGAGGCCAACTTGTTGGTGGTCCGCCGACGTTAATTTGGCCTTAAATTCCCGCGGCTNTTTTTTTTTTTTTTTTGTTGTTGATTGAAACACTTTTTTTCTTTTTGAGGGGGGGGGGGGACACTAAAATTGTATCTTTCGGAAAGCTACATATAGCTAAGGGCCATCCTAAAAATATATTTACTAAATAGGTGTATTAAAAAAATGGGATATACATTAATTATGATTTTCTTTTCTTATGTTGCAGGGTCCCGTCAACAAATTTTTTGAAAATTGTAATTTGTTGCTCGGAAATTTAGCATGGCACAGATATTTTAATGTGAGTATTGCTGGTGCTGTGTGGTCGCGTTAGAATACAATTTTAAAAAAAAAAATTATAATTTTTTTTTAATGAGAGACGAAAAGTTAAAAAATGTAGAGAAGCATTGAGAGAGAGTGAGAGAGAGAGAGAAAGAGAGAGAGAGAGAGGCTGGTGAGTAAGACAGTGATAGAAAGAAGCAGGTTTCCGATGTAGAAAGTGGGAGTGAGAAATATAAAATTATTGCTTTACAAAAAGACAGGTTAAATTTTGAAACGTTTGCATGCGGTGACAAATAAACAAATTTAAAAAAAAACTTATTACAAGACAAGGACATTAAAACAACAAATCTGATACGTCAGACAGGCCCGTTTCTTATTACAAGACAAGGACATTAAAACAACAAATCTGATACGTCAGACAGGCCCGTTTCTTATTACAAGACAAGGACATTAAAACAACAAATCTGATACGTCAGACAGGCCCGTTTCTTATTACAAGACAAGGACATTAAAACAACAAATCTGATACGTCAGACAGGCCCGTTTCTTATTACAAGACAAGGACATTAAAACAACAAATCTGATACGTCAGACAGGCCCATTTCTTATTACAAGACAAGGACATTAAAACAACAAATCTGATACGTCAGACAGGCCCGTTTCTTATTACAAGACAAGGACATTAAAACAACAAATCTGATACGTCAGACAGGCCCGTTTCTTATTACAAGACAAGGACATTAAAACAACAAATCTGATACGTCAGACAGGCCCGTTTCTTATTACAAGACAAGGACATTAAAACAACAAATCTGATACGTCAGACAGGCCCGTTTCTTTGCAGTCGGACCTTTGAAAAAATCAGCAAAAACCTTGACATTTGGTACGACCGCGCCACTCTTAAGATTGTATCACATCCTGACAGTATTTCCTAAATCTGACCCCATAACATGGTGTAGCCAGGGTTCCTGGTCACGGATCGTGTAACAAAATGAAACTGTCGGCCATCTCTAATGCACCTGTCACTCACAAAACTCAACATTTCTATTCCAGTTCGGACGACTGCGCTCGGCGAAGCAAATTATGTTGGTAGACTTGGGAGAGTTTAATCTCTTTCAGTTTGCACAATCATGTTTGCGCCCCGCCGAGACTTTCGTTTTGGGCTTCTCCGGATACGAGTCACTATCCGAATATGAGATGACAGCATTCTACGAGCAGTAAGTCGCCACTGTAAATGTTCATTTAGTTAGTCTAAGTATATGATATATTCGGTTGATTTCTGATTGAACGTACGATGTAGGAGCTTTAATTTTGTTTGCAATGGTAAAGCGCAACTTCAAAATCATATTGACTTCATTGCAAAATGTTCACCCTGCATTCAAAATTCAACTCAACATTCCATGAACATTGTGCTAATTTATTGGACATTAACAATTGCCTTCAAAAATATTTAAAAAATCATAAAAGTTGCCTAAATAAAAATAATTGTCTAGGTCGAGTTAAGTAAAACAGCAGTCACAGTTTCCCCCATTATACTCTGGGTGAAAGAAGCGGTCAAAATTCTGTAGAATATATTTCTATTTTAAAGCCTATGTCCAGTTTCGAAGCATAAAAACCCTTAAACAGCATGGGGCTATTTCATTAACTGGTATTTTTTCATCGAAAAAGTACACTCGAGCGGATTTCTATGTAAAGAAATTGAATGCAATAGGTGCTTCGTTTATTCTATACAAAAAGTAATAGATAACATCTGTCTTTCTGTTTTTCTGCTCTTCATTTTTTTTTTTTTTTTTTGTGTGGGACTTGGGCCAACCTCTTTTTTTTTTTTTCTTTTTTAACTTTTTTTGATTTTTATGTAAAGTAATTGAATTCAATAGGTGCTTCGTTTATTCTATACAAAAAATAATATATAACATTTGTCTTTCTTTTTTTCTTCTCTTTTTTTTTTTTTTTTTTTGCGAGGGACTTGCGCCAACCTCTTTTAATTTCTCTCTTTTCTAACTTGTTTCAAGGTAGTATTTATTTATTTATATAAACTTTAATTTAAATTCGTGCAATTTTTGTCTCGGTCGTACTGATGAAGCCATTGGCCGGAACGTCTTGATGTTGTTCTCTCAGTCAAAGACTTTCTGACATGTTTTACTTACACACATTGTTTCTGTCCTCATCAATCTATCTTCCACGGGCTTTCATTTCTTTCTGTTTTAAATCCGCCACAGGAATGTTTCATTCGGTGATATTGTTGCTCAGATTTTTGTTTTTTTTCCATAAAGAAGTACTAACCAGTTATTTTTATTTTTCACCTGACATACATCTTCACATTCAGTCCAAGGACATTAAAAAAAAAAAAAAAAAGTATCACCACTAAATACAGCTCAGCAAAGTAATTGGGAAATGGTGCTAATACTTCATGATAAACAAACCAAGTCTCAATTCTGTGACCTCTGATTAATTTACTTTTTTTTTAGTTTGCTGACGCCAACTACGTTAAGTCAATAATTTACTTCACACTACTTCGCCTTTATTTAGATTCGCCTCGTACAATGCACTGAAAGCCGCACAATCTGTGGAAATTTGCGTTCCTAGACTTGAACGCGGGCGCTTGGCCTTCTTTGATGAAGCGGTACGTTAGCCTTACACTAAGTTACCACTACAGAACAACTGGGAGGAGCCTAGACCTGTTTCAATAAACATTTTTTCATTTATTTATTAGGGTGTCGAAATTTGACGTCATGAAAGTTTTGTTCTCATCCCCAAAATCACATGATTGTATCACTCCCAACTTCATTCCTCCCACATTTCTATACCTTTTTAGGTTTATTTTTTTAAAATTTTAAATGACCTATTCGTTCAAAACGAAGTTGATATCTGCAAAGCATATAAAAAAAAGAGTATAGAAATCTATATTTCATTTTTTCCTGCTAAATTTCATCATGATCTATCATACTACAGCCTATGAAGGGCTCTGTCCTGCATCGCCACATCATTTGTTCCGCACGGACCTATCCATGGTCTTTCGTTTCCACGCATGATCACCAAACCCCTTCTCCCTCCATCTCGTGTGAATCCGAGAACACATCAGCTTACAATTTTCAAGAAGCTTGTTTTGCAATCCTGTCAATGAATTCCCACGAACTGTCGAGTGCAAACGTGATGTGATGCTATGTTTTAGGTAACCTTGGTATGTATCACTGAAATGCCCCCCCCCCAAAACAAATTAAAAAAATGAATCGCTGGACCCTTATTATGGATATGTATTGATATTCGGAGAGTAAACCAGACACGGAGTCGTGTGGGATGAATATTAGAATTCTGTGAACTATGTGAACTGTACATAACATTGAATACTTGTGCTATTTTCTATATCTCTTCAACTCACACCCACACTGACTGTTGGGTCCTTCCCATCATCTAAATAGGTTGTTTGTTTGTTTCTTTGTTGTTTTTATTTTCATTTGTGTTTTTTTTTTTCCAGAGCCAGAAAACATTACTCTTTCATTTTAGAAAATGTAAAGTTATTTGGGTTTATTTTTAAAAAAAAAAATAAATAATAATTATAAAAAAGAAAACTTTTAAAAATTTTTTTTTTTTTTTTGTTGTTTTTATTTTCTTTTTTGTTTTTTTTTTTCCAGAGCCAGAAAACATTACTCTTTCATTTTAGAAAATGTAAAGTTATTTGGGTTTATTTTTAAAAAAAAAAATAAATAATAAGTATAACAAAGAAAACGTTTAAAAATGTCGCATTAGTCATTAGTTGAACTACATATTTCTTTAACACATTCCTATTACGTTCAGTAGTACCATATTCTCCACCCACTAACACTATTAGAACTTGAACGAGTTCAAATAAATTAGGCTTTCGTTTTGGAATAGAAATATAAATAGAAAGTAAATCTAATTGTCAGAATTATCCCCCTTTTGAAAAAAAAATCTTAAAACTTCTGATTTGCATGTTTAACTTTAATTTAAGTAAAAGGCACATTATATCGCCTCGAACACCCCAGAGGCAGCCGAAACGACCATCGATATTTACGACACATGCGCCCCCCCCCCCCCCCCCCCCCCCCCCCGCCATTCGCGAAACTTTGAGTCCTCCCGTTCTCCCTAACTTGCATGACGTCATATTTGGATGACCTCAAAAATCACTGTTCAAATTCGCTCCCTCCAGCGGTGCACTCTCCTCCCAGTTATTAAAAAAAAAAAATATTAAAGCATCGTGTCATATTTTAATTACATGTATATGCAGTTGATGTTTCTTAAGAGCAAGATATGAAAACATTCTTGTTTGATAAAGACATACGCTGTAATTTCTATACTGAATGTGGATTAAAGATAAACTTGTCAACTTTTCTTTTAAACAAAAATTACAATCGACTATTGTCATGGTTTTTTTAATGTCACCAATCTCCAAACCTTCGCCTACAATCATGATTACAGCCTATCACTGGCAGCCTATCACTGATATCTGTGCTTCAATAGTTTCTTAATATAAAGCCTCCATCAATCCTATCAGTAGAAGCACGTCTTTTTTTGTATGCATCAATTTGGAACGCTATAATCTCCCCTAGTGGGACAGGTCATAGAGATCCATCCAAATTTTTGATGGAATATATATATATATATATATATATATATATTTATATTCATTTAACATTTTTAACAACCGGTTCGGTACAACCCTCACAATTTAAAAACTGTTTTCGTCGATCCGGACCTAACCGGCTCCAACACAAACCCTTGCTTTTGGAGTAAGTTAATCATATATTTTTAGGTTATGCATTTTCAACGATTATCAGAAATCGTGTGAGGTGTATGCTAAGAAAAAAATGTTGAATAAGGTTATAAGAGGGGGCGTCATGGAGCCCACGCCCCATAGCAGGGAAATTCAGAATGATTAGAGAGGTTATTATGATAAGGTTGGGAAGAGGGGGGAAGGGGGGCGGCGAAATTTTAGCGAACAAAAATTTGACACAGGAAAGGCACTTCAGAGAGAATAGATTTTTTTAATAAAATGACGTGTATGCATAGAAACCCATTTGACTCGTCTAGGAAAGTGGGTAATGGGATGAGTTATCGTCGCCAGGACGAGATGGAGAAAGCTGCTCAACCTCCAAGGTCTATGACTCCAACCTCCGCCTTGTCCTTGCTGTCAGAAATCTGTTTGCACCTGATCACTTTTGTTTATTTCTACCTTTAAGAGAGCGGTCAAATAAATTGTATCGTTAAACTATTTCAGTACTCATACCTGGACGCAGTCCTTGACCCTGTGACGAAGATAATCATTCTCACTAAATCTCCCGGCGTGCTCCAAGGAGAACTTGTGCAAAATGAGCGTGGACGATATGTCCAGTCAGTTTGCACCCTGACGCTGGAGGGCCAAATGCCATACATTGAATGCCTACTGATATAAACATTTGGCTTGATCCCACTAAAAGCTGAAGCTCATATTATCAATTTATGTTCAATAAATTTTTGTTGTGCTAGACCTTTTTTTTGTCATTATCTGATGCGGGTGAATGATTATGTCACGATCAAACGAGGGGGGGGGGGGCATGGAAGCATATATCACATGACCATAAGCTATCAAGTGCCAGCCATTCAAATTCAACAAAAGGAAGGGCCCAATTTATTCGAAAATA